CTCTCTCTCTCTCTCTCTCTCTCTCTCTCTCTCTCTCTTTCAATGAACTGCAGGACTTATTCTGCAACATGAAGGGCCATGTATTACTCTGACTTCAGTGCAGACTTGGGGATGAGGCTGATGACCAAGTGATGTTCCTCTTAAGTAAAGCTATTCTTCAGTGATTGGTCAGTTTCTGCACATTTCTGTCATGTGAATTACATTCTGAATGATCAGCTCAGGACTCTTGTACCATGATAGCAATAGGTTCACCACCAGGTAGAACCTGGCCAATCTGTAGGAGAATGGATTTGTCTTTGTAAAGACCATGGGCCTTGGCCTTTTCTCCCCCTCTTTCTACAATGAAAAGGTTGTATAAAGGGGTTACAATTTAACATAGCTGTCTAAGTGTGCTGTGCTTCTTGATGTGAATCACCTTTCCATCATTCTTTCCTGTCCCATCTGTTCCCTCCCCCCAGACTCATTTACACTTCCCACTCACTTTATTACATCTGGAATACTCTGACTTTATTTGTCCCCTGTTCTTGTTTCCATTCATCTACCTGCCTCCTACTAGTCCTCCCACTCATTCAACTCGACTAGCCTCCTGATACTCATTTTGTTAAACTGTTAATTGTTCAAAGGTTTAGTCCATGGAGTTTCACTCTTTATATACTGTACTTTGGTCAACTGAATCTTGTATATAAGCATATACAATGTGTGTGTTTATGTGGGAGGTTGTATTTGTTCTAGACCTACATATGAGAGAAAATACCCACCCTTTGGCTTTCTGGGTCTGGCTTATTTTGCTCAGAATGGTATTTTCAATATCCAATGTTCTGCAAATGAGATAATTTTATTCTTCCAAATTGCTGCATAAATTCTATTGTGTACATGTACATATACATATCTGTGCCTATGGGTGTGTATATATAATATATAATACATATGTATAAATGATTTTTATATATGTATAAAGTCACATCATATCTTCTTGGTTCATTCATATACTGTAAAGCAGATGGGCTGTTCCCATAACTTGACTACCATGAGCATAGGTAGGCAGGTGCCTTTGTTGTGTTCTGAAATGCAGTCCTTTGGGTAAGTGCCAAGGAGGGGGACCACTAGATCACAGGGTAGCTCCATGTGTGGGTTTTTGAGGCTCCTCCACACTGCATCCTGCAGTGGTTGCACTCATTTACATTCCTGTCCACAGTGTATGATCCCCTCCCCCTTGCATCCTCATCAGTGTTTGTTGTTTGTATTTTTTTTTTTTTGGTCAGTTGTGGGGCTTGAACTCTGGGCTTGTGCGCTGTCCCTGCGTTGTTTAGCTCAAGGTGATTGCTCTACCGCTTGAGCCATAGCACCACTTCCGTTTTCGAGTGGTTTATTGGAGATAAGAGTCTCACAGACTTTCCTGCCCGTGCTGGCTTTGAACCTCGATCTTCAAATCTCAGTCTCCTGAGTAGGTAGGATTATAGACGTGAGCCACTGGTGCCCGGCTGTTGTTTGTATTTTTGATGATGGACATTCTTTTTTGGAGTGAGATGGAGTCATGTATTTATTGTTCATATGTATTGCCATATGTACTGCTTCTTCCAGAACTGTTTAGCTCCTTTGTCCGCTTATTAATTGGGTTATTAATTCTTTGGGGTTTTTGTTTCGTGAGTCCCTTGTATATTCTGCTTGTTAGGCCTTTGTCAGACTTATCACTGGCAGAGTCTTCTCCCATTATGTTGGCTTTCTTTTTAGCAGAGAAACTCTATCCTTTGGTGTGCAGAAGCCTTTAATCTTAGTGTAATTTTATTTTTCAGTTCTCTTTCCTATGGATGTTGGCCTGTGTGAGATCTTCTCTCTGTCTCTCAAGTT